TTTTCTATGGAGTCCACTCACTACAGCTGCACAATATATTGCAACAGAATTTAAATTGTTGTTTGAGTTGGCATTATCAAATCGCAATGGGTGTAGTTATTTAGATAATAGAATGTGCACTACAAAGAACACAACATCCTGTCTTCTTATAGAAATGTTTTTTTGTTCTGGCGGTTTAGACATTTTCAAACATGTTCTGAAATTCATGAGATTCCTATAGTAGTTTCAGTTCATATTCACATAAAAGGAGATTAAGGGAGTGTGGCGTCACCCATAGTGTTCAGCTCCAGTCAAATGATGCTCACGACGCTAGGAGTGACTTTGGAGACGAGTTAAAATGGCAAAATAAAAACACTAGGATCATGTAGAACGGGCTTATACTAACATTTTAAGACCAAAATGATGAGACTCACAGCAGGGTTACAATTTGAAGGCAAAAGAGCCCCCATGCTCAGTACCTATTTGGATTTGGATATTTTTGCAAGTAGATTTCATTTTTTTACCATTTAGATTTTTTTTTGTACAGCCCTCCCTGTCAGAATACATAGCAGACAGGAAAGCACCAGTGGCTTTAACATGGGGCCAATAAAGGACAAGAACTTTTGACACTGGAGCAGGAAGTTAGGGCCCCGAGGGAGTGCAGCTCGAGGATCCATGTAACAGGATGAAGTCGATAAAATATGCATGACCGCCGGCTATATCTGCTCCCACTGTGCTCTGGAAATTTAGGACAGAGAGGAGAGATGCATGGAGGGCAAATATTCAGTAATGTTATGTAAATCACACACACACACAAAAAATTACCGTGACTCAAGCAAAAAAAAAAAAAAAAAAACATTTACAAAGGACAGTTAAAACACAGACTCAGCACCTTATTGTTGTGCATCCCCACTTTGAGCATCTGAACTTGTTTATTGATTCAACACTAGATCAATATATCTTCAGCAAAGCGCTTTTTTAAAATCTCAGCTTTTTCTTGATAAATAGAATACTATTCCAAGCAACAGTCATCATCATCTACCACTTTATTAAAGGCTTCTGTAGTTTACTAAGTGTTTGCGCTAGGGATCTTAAAATATATTGTGTAGCCTCAGTTCCTTACATCATAACCTCGAAGGATGACAGATTAGTGTTATCACAAATGCTAAAATTTCAAACTTGATTTCAATACAAAGCAAGAGACTCAATACTCAATACGAATACCATGATAATAATAAACACTCTTTATTTAGAGCATAGAATGTGATTTTCAACATTAAATCATAGTACCGGTACTTTCTTTTATATTGCCTCAGTCGTCCAGATTCGTTCCATAGTGGTCCATGGATGGATAGTAGTCTTTGTGGTCTTAAACTTGTTTTGATACCACTCAAGATCATTCTAAAGCTGTTCAAGAAAGGTTCATTCCTGTCCTGTGAATGTGACTTTTTAGTATCAGTACTTGGTCAACTGAGTATCTAGTTTTGATACTAGTTTTAGTATCAATTAGTATCTGATTTTGGATACTTTTGACAACCCTTGACCTAGTACCTTACATTATAGTCTCAAATATTTTCTAAGGAACAGATTTGAGTAATTATTAACAATGCCCCTGTTGGCTCTTTAAATCTCACATTCACAGAGTTTGGATCATTTTGATTCACAATTTGGAGGAATGGGAGGATCTAAATAAAGAACTGGTAGTTCAACCCACAACCTTGCTTATCTCAGTTTACAGGTAAACGCCTTAAACTTGATTAGATTTACTCAACATAAGTAGTGTTTAACTGAACTGCCACTGACCTTTGCTGTCACATCTTTATAATTCTCAGTCACATGTTCGTGTGTATAAGCAAGCTACTGGTTCCTTATTCGTTTTTTGAAAGCATTAGTATGACTTTCACATCCTCCCAGTCTAGAAGAACACACAGAGACCTTCACAGTAAAGTACAACAAAGTAGATTAGGGACTGTATAATGGACAGAAATGGACTTTGTAATCTGATCTTGGTGCACTATCAGCCATAGCAATACATCATTGTCCTAAACCTCAAACAATACAAGAATTTGTCTTTAAGGTTGATTTTACCATTAGAACTGTTCATTCATTTGACCAATTTAACTTTAAAGGGAAGTATTATGCAAATTATTTGTCTTTTCTATCTGCCCACTGCTCTGTATTTACTTACGATTATGCTAAAAACTGACTTCAGGTTATACATGTAGGGTTCAAATATGTAACAATAAACATATGCTGATCAAAAACAGTGTCACAGTGAAATGGCATTATAAAGAGGCCTGTCAGTTCAGTTATTCTGAACAGGAAGATAATGGACCTATTGTCTATGTTAAGATGTTTAAGATCAACATTACATTACAACAAACAGATTGCTAATGATTCAACTATGCATTTTAGACTAAATGCTAAATGCTATGTCTTCTTTAACAATATTTCAGATATGCTTTAAGCACATTTGCAATTAGGGTCTATTGGAAATGCTGTATTTTTAGTTGCACTTAGTCATCACCGGCACATTTGCAATGCGCAGTCATATCCCTCTGGTAAATGTATGCAGGCTTCTGACTCAGTGCTTTTCCTGTTGATTGAAGAAGGAAAGAGAAAGATTGTTTCTACAGTTAGCCCTGAGTTGTGCTGTCCGTATTGATTTGCAGTAGCCAGCTCCTGTGTCGCTTAATGACGGGAATCCCCATAGAGTCCCCTGTCTAGTGTCTGGTATGTTCACTCATTATTTATTGAAGAGTAGCTGGCTGGCCGTTGTCCTGTGGTTGGCTTTATGTATATGGCTTGTATGACCAAACTGTATTGACTGAAGTCTTGTATAGTAGTCTGACGTGGCTCTGCTTATGCACCTGTGCTGTTTGATCTTTGAGGCCATTCTTGAACACAGATGTTTACAAGTGGAGATAAAAGACATATTGAAACATATATTGTATTATATATTGTCTATAGTTAAACCTGTTACTAAAAGTGACTCTAAGGAGAGGCCCCCTTGTGATGTGTCATCTTCCAAACAAGAGTATAACATGATGTTTAATTTATGCCCCTTTGTGGTTAACTTAATGGTCCATTTAGATTTTGTAAATGGACCATAAAGTGTACTTGTATGTACTTGTTCAAATGGATCTCTGATGGATGGATTACAGGTGATATCCTTCTCAATCTTAACTATTTGCAGGACTAATAATTGTTGGCTGAGTAATATCAGTCTATGTCTCTTGGCTGGCCTGGGAACACCTTGGGGTCCCACCGGAGGAGATTGAGGAACTGTATGGGGTGAGGAAAGTCTGGGAGTCTTTGCTTAGACTGCTGTCCCCACAACTTAGCACTAGATAAGCGGAATAAAAGTATAGCATTGTATCTACGGTTTTTCACTCTTGTCATCTTATTAGCAATTATTAATAAACCATTTTTGCTGTGAAGGAAACGTAATATTTTCTATGATTTATAATAAAAAATAAACATTGCGCTAATCATAAATCCCTGAATAAATCCATGAACATGTGAAAATGGATATAGCTAGAGTGCAGTCAGAACAGTATTTTATAAGTACATTTAGTGGCGTTTTAGAACGATGCTTTTGTAAGATCAGCACGAAAATCCCAGCATGCAGCGGGGTGTGAAACAGCATGTGCAGCTGAAACTGTTTCTCAAGTATTTTTTTGAGTCTGTCCTGCAGCTCTTAAAAATGCAGTTTAGTGATGTTGGAAGGGTGTGGTCACGTTCCACAGCTCCACGGACCACAGTCTGGCCCTGCTTCACTGCTCTGCCCACACCCTCCAGGCCCCGGCAGCACAAGCCTCCCATCTCCACTACACAGGCCTTTATAGTGTGAACTATAGAGACGTGAGCCTGGCACAAAGAGGAGCTGTGTGTGCGGCTGACCTTTAAACCCCACAACCTTCAGAGGCAGAAGATTGTTTGTTTGTGAAGAATTTGTGATGGTGTCATAAATCTCAGAGACTCTCTGAGCTTCTTTTGACCCTAGACTCCACATGACTATAGCACAGCATAAAAAAAGTATATTTTATATGAATGAGTTATGTAATAAAATGGCTCTGATTCATCGGGACGTCACTGTTTTATTATTAACTACCTTTCTGGCCAGTGTTCATTGCTCCCCTTGTCTGCTGCTTGTTTAAACTTGATATTCATGTTTATCTCTATGTTAGTAAAGATGTAAATAAACAGTTTAAGAGGTTTTAAATAGTCAGGGTCAAAAGAAAAGGGTCAAGTGAAAGGTCAGGATACATCTCTAGACAAGCACAAAATGGATTTTTAAATTTTAGTTATATTATATTGCCCTTGAAAACTTGAAAGCGTATTTTGTATAGGTGTTGATACTTTGCAGCTGTTATTGTCAACTTTCTCAGGGGGTGTGATGCTAACTGTAGGCACTGCTCTATCAAAGGCTTGTTCGGCTTTAATCTGTGCTTTATTTTAACACAATCTGATCAGAAAGGGCTGAGTTAGTTTGAACTACAACAGGTAAGATGATTTATCACTCACATATAAATTTACTGTCACATGCTAGCAGTTACTCACTCTCAGATAATCTAAAAACCTTTTTGGCAATGTTTGGTAATATGTGTATTGTGTCACGATGGTAACTGCTGAACTTTCCATCAGATAAAGATGCATGTAGAACACCCCCAGCGTTATGTCCCTGCAAAGTATCAATTTGTAAGCAGTGAAAACACTCAAATTATAATTTTAAAAGAATACTGTGGAACATTCCAAGCAAAGCCATTATCCAAAAAGTTACACAGGGTATTTGTATTGCATTAACCCAGCTTTAAACAGCTTGAAGTGAGGACTGTTTGTTTTTATTGGAATTTTCATTGAGCAGCAGCAATAAAATGTTGTGGAATACTTGTACTTGCCCACAAACCACAGTGCTCTGCTTAAACCAGACAAACTGTACATCAACTATTAAGAGTGCATATGGGAATGTGTGTTGTTTTATTCTCTTCCTCACACGTCTGGAAAACACGTAGAGAGAACGTGCCCACCTCTGGGACTGGTGACTCTCTTCCTCTTTCTGTCAGAGGAGGAGGAGGAGGCAACCACTGCTACTTCCTCACTCTGTATGAAACTATTATTTCTGGTAGCCGGATTCTGTACTAGCTTTGGGAGTGGACTCAAGGCTTCGTCACATGTGAGTAAAACAGGCCAACTTTTATATTTTATTTTATTTGGCATTTATGTTGACTTTTTGGTAAAGGTTGGGTTTGGAGTGATTCATGCTGTCTTGCAGAAGGAAAGTTCAAAATAGTGATGATAAACATGTGTGGAGCAGACTTTTTCCATAATTTCTGTATTTTTATAGTGTTTTTCTCAAAGGGAAATTTGAATGTGGGCGTTCTTGGCCTGTCTCCTGTTTAAGCTGCTGAGAACTAAAACTGTAGAATAGATTTTAAGATTCTGTTGGGAGAATTAAACTTCACACAAAATGGAACTTTTAAATTAACACCACGCCAGTCAGGTCTGTGGAAATGCAAGCCTGCTTTCAGTAAGGGCACAGATTTTTTGATTTTTTTCAGTGCAAACTATATACAGAATGAAAAAAGGCTTTATTTTAGTCTGTTTTTTGAGTGATTAAATGATTTACAGTGATTTAAATAAACAGCATTGTCATGTTGTTTTTATAGTGCACCTGACCGTTGCCTAATGACATAACAGGGGAAGTTAACCAGCTTCTCTGTAATAGTGCATTTCCTCATAATGCATTTACACTGATGGCTGAAATCAGTGTAGTAATCAGCCTGGTGGTGTTTTAAACCGAGCATTTAAGGTCAGAGAATGGTCAATGATGGAGAACTCAGTGTCCTATTGGAGCCATTAGTGGTTGTGGTAAAACAGCAATGCACTGAATATACATAAACAGTCTCTAATACATAATGTACATTTAGAGGATTTTTCAAGATGTGGAAAGTAACAAGACCTGTTTGTTTTGTTTGCAATCAAGAAGTCTTAATCTAAATGGCAGGCAATATAGAAAAACACATGTGCATAATGTCAACTTTATAGCAACACGAGCAACTCGAAATATTTTATATGCACAGTAAAAGGCTGTAAACAGTTTAGCATTATAATACCCTACTTTAAGATAAGTACAATTCTAAAATTGTTACATCATGTCATAAATACAGCTCAATTTGTGTAAACAGCCAAAGCAAATTAATATGTTTTGAGATAATCTAGAGGCATAGCAGCTGGGAACAGCCACATCAAATATCTTATCTCATCACTGAGTTTTTAAACGAGATCTGGGCACATTTCTAAGAAACTGGTTTTCTGACATCACTGATTTTGGGACACATTATAATTTAGAGACCGATGTGGGTTTTACAGGCCTGGTGATGCCATTTGTTTAGAAACCAGAGAAACAGATGCCACCCTGTAAACTCTGACAATATTTTTGGCAGCTATGTTGTATAGCCTGATATATTGACCAACCAATATATCAGCTTGTCTCTAGGACATATGATAGAAGCTCAGTCAAATTTCAAAGACAGCCCTGTCAGTTATGCATATTTTTAATTTATTTATTTGACCTTTATTTAAGCAGCCAACATAATCAATACAAAATTGTAAAATCACAAAATATCACATTATCAAACCATTTGCATCTCTCAAGAAAACCATACACTTGTTTCGTTCACCACACCATTTTACAATTTTCTTGAAGCATCACCACAGATTCCAATTTAAAATCTTTCTGTAAATGATTACAAGAGCATGGTGCTGATCAGTGGTTTTGTTGGCTGACATGGCACACAAAATGTATAAAATCATATATCAAAACACTCATACTTATTGCTGTTTCAGTTTTCTAGTCACCAGTCTTTGTTTATAGATTGCGTGTCATGTCTTCACAGACCAAATGTTAGTTTCCTTTTTGTAAGCTGCTTCAAGTAACAGTTTCTTGTCTATTTCCTTTTCGTACATTTCTTTTATCTAGGTTCAGCAGCAGAGGCTCACTGCAGTGTCCCATATTCAGTTTTAGATTATATGCTCTACTTTTTAACAATATAATTTAAGGCAATTACAGCCCAGCTCTGAGCATATGGCTGTGGTGCACTATACTTTATATTGGGCTTTTAATTTGCTATTTTTTGAGCCATGCCCATGTTTAGCCTGTTACTACTAACCACAAGGTCTCTGTTTGTTTTGTTAAGAGTTTCCCCAGCTGCTGTGATGTGAAAGTCTCTATAGATTGAGCTTTTTATGTACAAAACCATGTTGCCCTTTACCCTTTCTATGTTTAACTATAACATGCGTGTAGGTCCCATGCAACTATGCAACTAGGCCAGTGTAAAATAGGACAGCTATGTCCCGACAGAAATCAGCCTTCAAACTGTACGAAGCAACATGAAGAGTATTATGTCGTGAATTTAAAGTGTGTATTTATTTGGATTTGTAAATCGCAAAGACTGCAGTTTTTGCAGTACCATACCATAATTTTTTCCACTAATAACAAAATCTCCTGTCTTATTCTGCATAGAAGACTGCTAATCCTGTAGTTTAGATCTGTACAAACATGTTTGAAATGTGATTCTTGTATTAGTTTGTCAATTCACATTTTACTCTTTTTGTCAGTTCTTCTATATGTGTTTTGAACTAGTTTGAACTAGCAAATCTAAACTCAGTTGCATTTTCCCAAATAGTTCAGCCTTATTTTCAGGAGTGTGAAGAAGTTGTGAGACGATCAGACAGGAGGTAGTCACAGGACAGTGCCTTCAGAGCTGCGAGTCCCATGACAGTGCAGCAGAGACATGAGCCATGAGTGAGGCTGATCAGATAACTGTAAGTGCTGGCACGTACTGCTAATATCCTGCAGCACTAACTCAGGCTAACGGATCATCACCCTTTGATGATGTGTGATAAGTAGTGTCATGAGAACCACACTGTTTACTTGTTACTCAATATGGAACTAATGTTGCTGATGATCTTCTGAGGGGCACATTGTGCAGCAATAGTGCCACCATCTGTTCACCATTCACAAAATATAATAATAATAATGCATTGGGTTTACATAGCACCTTTAAAGACACCCACCGTGCATTACAGTGCATTATTCATTCACTCCACACTTGGTGGTGGTAAGCTACCTTTGTAGCCACAGCTGCCCTGAGGCAGACTGATGGAAGCGATTCTGCCAATCTGTGCAATCGGCCCTTCCAAACACCACTAACACTCACACACATCACATACTAGGTGATGTGGGTGAAGTGTTTTGCCCAAGGCGATTAACTAAAATTTTTGCTTCTGGCACCCCACTGTGGCACCTGGTGTTCCCAGGCCGTCTCCCGTCCAAGTACTAACCAGGTCTGCTCTGCTTAGCTTCCAAGATCAGACAAGTTTATGCTTTGACTAGGAGGACTGGCCAAAAAATGAATCTTTTAACTTGTTAATTGCATACTGGATTGATTTTGGTGTTAAAATTATATTTTGTATGCATAATATGTTGTTTGTTTTGCTATATGTAAATATTTCTTAAGTTCCGTGATCATTGTACAGAATCAACCACATCTCTTTTGAAAGTATGTCATAAAAAGGGGGTTAATATAAGTTTTTCTTCTTTCCTCTCCTTTTTGAGAAATGTGCTTTTCTGTTGTTTACAATTTATATGTAGTATATATGATTGTTTCTCTCTTAGCACAAACTTGAAATAAAAACAAACCAATCAATCAATACTAGGACCGCATGATATGAAGATGACGTCATGGCGATGTGACTGTTTAGTACTGTAATATTGATATTATTCAGAAATTTCAGTTTACTTTTTGACACAATAAATATTGCATACACCATAAAAAACCCTTAAAATCTAAATGGTTAGTGTTGAAAAACTCTAGGGTTATGCGGATCTCATTTCCGGAGAATGATCTTGTATCCTCATTATGATCCCTCTAATTCCCTCCAGATCATCTTACTCCCCGATCAATAGCCCTCGCTTTCCTCTGAGCCCCTCACAGCCCACACACTCCTGTTTAAGTGCACTAATGTCTCAGTGTCCAGATGAGCACCTCTCCATATGTACTCACAGTCTCTGTCAACATCTTGTCTGAGCCTCATGCCCTCACAGCTCTGTGGAGATGCTGCATACCTCATGTTACGCAAAGTGTTGGGCTAGTACTGAGGGCGGCCAGCTTAAATATAAGTGCTGTCCTGTTTTCTTTTTACCTTAGTAACCCTTGAGTATGGAGACTTTTATATTATTTTGGATTCAGAATTTACTGCAGAAGCATTCATATTTTATAACTCACTGCTCTCTCACTTTTGAAAATAACAGATCAGTGAAGTGGGGTTAGCAGATTTGGGCTACTGCAGCATTTTATGTTTTGTTTTTATCTTTTCAAAGCAGATGTTAACCTCTCGTCATCAAAAATAAGAGCCAACTTTACCTAAAAAATAAATAAATAAATACAGTTTATGGGCTTCATCCTGTTTTTGTGGTTTCATAGAATCTTTAAGCTTATATAATGTGTAAATGGCCAAAACCATATGTTGTTTCTATTATGCTTTGGCAGGAGACCGGACTTCCTGAGCTGGTAGAGCCAGTGATCTGTCGGTTGTAGACACAGTTTTAAATGAGGCAGGACTCAGCATCTGTGTTTCAGACTGTGCTCAGCTCCAGGGGGCTGTTAAACCTCTTCAACAGTAACACTCTGTTCGGGAAAATGTCTTTCTCAGCTCTCGTTTCCTTTCTCCTGTGCAGGCCCTGTCAGTTGATGCCCAGCCATGATGAAAGCGGGCGCCACCAAAGTGGGTCTGCCCAAACCCGGGCACGAGCGGACCAGGACTACCACTGTGACCTCCCCCACCTCCTCTGCAATGAAGACCACCAGGTCCAACCTGCTGGCACCAGACCACCGCCTTAGTAGGGTGAGCCATGCATTCCTATAACCCATTATTGTATTTTATTTATTTATTGGAATGCAATCTTTTCACTAATTACTGCTTCACTTTTAAATACTGTGAATGTTTTAACCCTTCCAACTGCACGTACAGATTATATTAGGGATAGCTCACTTTAAATTACAAATTGCATTATGATAATTTATTAACATGTCGCCTGTGTTTGTAGCTAAAAAGAGCTAATAGTGATGATGCCCTGACCAAGCCCGCCCTTACCAGTGCTTCAGGGTCTCGACTGAAAAAGACTGTGACGACTGGAGCCATCTCAGACCTGCCTGAAGCACGGCCACGCAGCTCTGCAGGTAACTGCAGTAACACAGTAGTCTGTTAGGTGTTTAACAATAGTCATTGCTACGATCAGCCACTAGAGGGCCTCAATGCATAGCTAAAACAGACTATTCTTATGCTCCAGACTTACTGTGACTTAAATTAGTGCTTTAAAACCCTCACGCTCTCCTCGGGGTCACATTGACCCGAAGATTTTTTTTTCACTTCCCGTTCTCTTGGGGCGGGTCAATCAGACCCAAAATTTTATTTTCTCGCCTGGCGAGAATTTATTTAAAATAAATTTTTGGGTCTGATTGACCCGCCCCAAGACAACGGGAAGGAAAAAAAAACATTTTCTTTGGGTCAATGTGACCCCGAGTAAAGATTGCCTTCCTTAATGTCTCTGTTGTTTTGTCTTGGTGGTGGAGAGTTATCAGAACTATTTGAATTTATTGCTATTCAAACTGCAGGCTATAATATAATCTTTTATTTAATTTATACTTTATTTCAGCTAAATTAAAGCAAGATGGTATGCATTTGTCTTTTCACAATTCAAAATATTCACAAATGTTACGAAATATGATTTGGGCCTGCTTTTTGAATTACCCATTGTTTGTGCTTTATATAGTGGTAACACATTTAAATATAGATTTGCTAATTTAATGAGCATTTCATTCTTCCAAAGACAAAGAAAAAAATATGCTCCCACTAAATAATTACTAAAGCTCTTATTTTTATGCTGCCAAGATTTTTGTGCCTGTAAGATTTCTGCATTGTTTGCTTACTCTGCATTTTTTGTGTGTTCAGATTTCTTCTTAACTATAAAAATAACTGTTTTTGTTTTCCTCTGTAACTATAAAGCTCCTCTAAATATTGCTGTTGTTGAATGCAAAGACGATGTTGGGAGTAAACAAAGCAACTCAACTGTGAAACAAGGATTAAATGTGGGCCGAACTTGGCGTGTGATTTCGTTTGCAATAATTAAAGCAGTTCATAGCACACAGTTTAAAATCCTCCACGATGAAACACACTGTGCCTATGTTATGTTCGGTCAATCCACTCGGTGCAAAGACTTTTTTTGATAATACACAGCTTCAAAGACTGGTGAAGCTCACGCAGAGATAAGTGAATTCTCCTTGACAAAAGCACAGGATCACAGCCAAGTGAGGCTCTTAGCTCCCAGCTCCCAAATACAATTAAGCCTTAATCAGCTGAAAGTTTGTTGTTTTTTTGTTTTTACCAAGGACAAAGAGGTATCTGTGCTTTCTATTAGAAAACACAGTTAGGCTGCTTGCCTTGTCTATGATGGATACAAGAAAACATGGCAAGATGATGACTCTAGGTATATAAACCTTCTATATTTATGGGTTTCTGCTTCTTGTTTATTGGTGACATTTTGAGTATTCTTGACCCCTAATATGTGGTTTTGAATTGTTAATTTCTATGGTAACTGTGGTCATTTTTCATCACTCAAACTCATAGATTGCCTATTTGATCCATATAAATCCATAGATGTGGGGTTTTTTATGTTCTATGTTGATTTGTTTATTTATTTGTTGTTTTTAATGTCTCATAGTGCACTTTGACCTTTATACACATTTTTCTGATGTAGTTGTTAACTACGAATGGCAAATAAACTGACCTAACCTTTTAATTGCCACACATTTCCCAGCAGGGTAAGTTAGAGTTAAGTTTGCATAATGAATAATTTCCTTCCTTATGTACTGTATTTTTCTACTCAGGTGTCAATTAAACACTTTTGAACTGTGCCAAAATCAAGTTCAATGTCAAATCATTTGTGACAGTTGAATGAGTGTTTCAATGAGCCGAGCACACGGCCAATGGCAAAGAGCATTAGAGTCTCAACCTGCTTCCTTTGAGACACCAGAACAGGAAATGAGTTTATTTGAATTTAATTTAAGTTGACAATGATGGTTGGTGATAGGTCAATAGGAATGATCTATATATCAATTCCAATAGTGGTATTCCCTGGGAGTGTGATGCTCACTGTAGGCACTGCTCTGTCTGACACTTGTCAGGCTTTAATCTGAGCTGTATTTAAACACAATCTGACCAGAAGATTGACTTGCTGGAGCTGGAACTACAACGTGTGAGATGATTTGTGCAGTTAAACAAGTCTCTCACACATAAAATTACAGTCACAAGATAGCTAGCATTGGCCAACAGTTTTCAGTTAGCCACTTTCACCTTTTTTATTGAAAGTCAAACACCTAAACATAAACCATGAAAGCTCATATTGAAAATGTGTTGTTTACATCCATTTTGTATTGTTTCTTGAGTTTTCAGACTATTTTAGTGTTTTAGTGTTTGCTAATGTGGTCATTGTGTCCCCGTGGTAACTCCTAAATATTCCACCATTAGAGATACATGTATAATAAATACCCCCTGCATTATGTCACTGCAAAGTATCAATTAATGATATAAGTATCTGGTCAATACTGAAAATGTAGCTGGTATTTAGCAGCAATATACTGTGTGGCAGATAATTTTTTTTGAGCACTGTAATGAGTAAAAATTAACAAAGAAGAGTAAATACGCTAAAAATGTGGCTAGCTATCTGTTATCAGCTCTAGCAGTGAGATTTTTATTGGAATATCGGCTCAAAAATCCATATAGGACCAGCTTTATTCAAAACAGACAATACTTTGACATTTTTAGACGGATGATTCTTCCTCCTCAAGTTGAACTGTCAAATGCACCTATTGACTCCTTTATCAGCAGCTGTGACAGTGTTGTGCTCTAAGCTGTGAGTGCCTGACAGAATCCTCAGTGGGATGTAAAAATAATTCATGAATGACAAATGTTGCAGTCTGGCTAATGGTGTGACAGTGTCTCACATTGACCCAAACCTACATCATGTTTGAGCTAATCACTGTTAATGACAAGAAGAAGGGGCGCTGCAGTGCGATGCTTCATGTATTTTTTATGTCTTTGCCAAAAGTAGGTCAGATGTGGCTTTGTTCTTTTGCAGGGGAATTGTGTAAGCAGGAAAACAAAGAATATGCAGGAGCTTCAGAGGAATGATGAAATTAACATTAAAATAAACTATATAAAATTCTTGATGTAGAGTATTCTGAGAGATTGTGGTTAAAGGTGTATTATGGAACTTTTCTGGTGGAGCGTTCACCATCTGCCAGGTATTTCTTTCTTAATTTAAAAAAAAACAACAACAACAACTCTGTAATGAATTAAATACAAGATAGATTAATGTTTTGCTGCAGAACATTCCTGACAAAGCAATAGCATCTCCATGGAGACAAGCAGGTGCCACCAGAAAAGTTACACAGTGTGCTTTTAACGGTTTAATATTTTTAGTCCCACACCCATCATCACTTTCATTGGTTAAAAACAGAGAAATTAACAGACAATACATTCTGCTTGTGTTGGCTTGATTTTAGATTATTATTAGTAATGTATTGTCTCCTCAAGATGTTTTAAAATATACAAGTTAGTGTTAACGTTTCAATTATATGATGGTCAAATCTGTGCGCTGACCCCAAGTTAAATCCACTCAATTATATATAACATAAATCTGTAGGTTCTTATGCGTCATTCAGGTCATGTGACTCACTACCTGCTCCACCCCTATAGCCCCCTCAGCCTGATCCACTCATGAAGTGTTATTTTAGCTAATGGAAGGCTGTCCCATTTGGCACTTTACCAGCCTCTCCACACTGTCAGACAACGGGTTAAAGCCTGCCCATTCAGATGACTTATTTAAGCAGCTCTCATCAATAATGCAGTAAGGCTTTCACTAAAGGAGGGGTCCCAGGGGAGCAGGAGGAACTCTGGGCAGATCGGACTCTATAAATAACAACTGAAGCTGGCATTGGCAGTTTTGGGAGGCTAGGCACTTAATTGGTAGACATTTTCAACTTTCTATAGATTTTGCCCCTGGCTTCAGTACATATGAACTTGAAGAGTTTATGTCTATTTCTTGCTTATGTTAGTTATTTTTTCTGCCATGGTTCTATATGTATGCCAGTCTCACAGATTTTAAGGAATTGACTTGTGCTAGTTTGGTCAGTGTAAAGTGTGTAATGTAAAGTTGCCGATTATGTGTTTGTATTTTATCATATTCCATTTTAACCTATATCTTAGTATATTTCTGTGACAATTCATTGGTTTCAGAATCTTTGTTATAGGCAACATTTTGAGGACTCTTCACTAATCAAAAGATGTAATAGTTTGCTTTAAATTATGACTGTTGACATAACAAGTGACAATTTTTCATTTGAGAGAATGGTAGACGCACTTGTACACTATGTAATCTTTCATATCCATCTTGACCTTGAAAATATAAATTGCCATTGTTGTAACTTCTGTCCACGTCCTTCTGAAACATGCAACATATTTTGTCTGCTAAGACTCAGGCCTGCATTTCCTTTTTAGTGACAGTGTCCTCATAAAGATCACCCAGTTGTGCCTTGAACCATGAGGTCTTTTCACCTCCACCATCTGCTCACTTCTGCAGCCTCACCTCCAGTATCTAACAGCCTATAAACTTCACTTCCCCTTTTCTTTACAGGGAAAGGTGCTGTATTTTAAAGGGTCTATATTGTGCAAACTTGACTTCTGTGAGCTTTAAGCCACATTATAATCTTGTAACCTCATCAAAACATTCCCAAAGTTGTGTTGTTTTTTTTTTTCAATCACATATGTTTGAGTAATCCTGCATTATCAGTCTGTATCTGTCTCCAAAGCTCCAAAACTCCAAAAGCTCTTGTGATGTCATGAATTTGTAGTTTTCAAGTTAACAGCTACGTTTTACCTTTTGTTTAATAGAGATGAGCAATTCCAGGGCTGAAATTATCCAAATGATTCTAGTGAAGATGTATAGTTTAAAAACACAGTGACATGCTTCATGATATCACAAGGTGGAACACTGTGTTTTCTGGGTGAGAGAAGAACACAGCCTAAATATGCAGGATTTGCGTGTGACATGTAACATGTATGAATGAAACAAATAAAATTCCACGTATGTTTTTGATGAAGACCAACACTATAACAGATC